GTTAGCCCCACCAACTCATCTGATTGACTCCAAACCAGTGTCAATATTTTGCAAATTAATTGCAAATAATTGCAAATTGGGTTTCGCAATTTGCAAATTGATAAGCACGCCGCAAAAAAAAATTTTCGTTTGGTGGGGCTAAATTCACTCAGCCCCACCAATTCATCCGATCGACTCCAAACCGGTATCAATATTTTGCAAATTAATTGCAAATAATTGCAAATTGATTTTTAGAATTTGCAAATCAAAATTGTAATTTTGGCGAATTTTTTTCCAAATTTTGTCAGCCCCACTAATTCATCCGATCGACTCCAAACCGGTATCAATATTTTGCAAATTAATTGCAAATAATTGCAAATTGATTTTTAGAATTTGCAAATCAAAATTGTAATTTTGGCGAATTTTTTTCCAAATTTTGTCAGCCCCACCAATTCATCCGATCGACTCCAAACCGGTATCAATATTTTGCAAATTAATTGCAAATAATTGCAAATTGATTTTTAGAATTTGCAAATCAAAATTGTAATTTTGGCGAATTTTTTTCCAAATTTTGTCAGCTCCACCAATTCATCCGATCGACTCCAAACCGGTATCAATATTTTGCAAATTAATTGCAAATAATTGCAAATTGATTTTTAGAATTTGCAAATCAAAATTGTAATTTTGGCGAATTTTTTTCCAAATTTTGTCAGCCCCACCAATCGTTTTTCTTATACAATGATATTATATCATTGAGTTCAAATTTAATACTATCCATTATACAGTGACCCACATGTAACCTACTGTACAGCAGAGCGACATCCACTTACCCACCTTTTTTTTAATATTATTTTAATTAATTTTATATGACAAAATATGTTTATTAATTTCAAATATACATTATTTTTTTGTAAATTGTTAACATAAGTTTTTTTTCACTAATGAATTTTACTCTTATAAAAATTTATTAATAACCTTAATTTGTGATTTATATTAATTGTTTTTATTTATGGTTTTTAAGGTTTTTTTTTTATTCACATTATCATGTTTAAATGTTGACAACTTTTAATATTTTTTCAACAAAAAATAACAATTATTAATTATAATTCAAAATGTATTATTCTTATGCATAAGTCCATGGCGTCAGAACTTAGTTAGGCCTTCGGGCCTACGGCTCAACGCCATACGAAAAAAACTAAAATTACAGGTAGGTTGGAATATTATCAATTATAATACTTAAATACCGCATAACGTATTATGTTATGTTCGACTGTATGTCTCCACGAAAATTCGTTATTCATAAAATATTTATCAGTTATACCTATAATAATATGTTAAATAATATTTATTGAATTAAAATGTACCATATTCTGATATTCATTACAGCGACTCAATGACGAGGTACATCTACCTCTCGAGACGATACTCACTATGCTTCAGAGCAATTTCCACGGTTTTTAACTTGCCATTTTAGAAGCAATGACAGTGTTTCAATAACCAGTTGTAAAAAATATAGTCATGTGTTTTTTTTATAATATAAATGAATAAAACTATTAAACAAATTTATTATTTAAGATAGTGACTATCTTGATATTGTAATTTCTTATCGCGTTGCGTTGACACTCGCGTGCTGTATTCTTTTGGGTTTTTCTATTTTTTACGTAGTAGTTCGGGCGTCGTCGATTTCCGTTTACACAATAATATTATGTGGAGGACTTTACCCAATGAAAACAATATTATTTAGTTAAAATTACAGTGACTCTGTTCTCTTTTGTAGTCCAGTGCAGTCACATGTTAATAATATATTGTATTTAATTGCTAGTATATTTTACGATAGCTTGTGCATTGTTGTTATTTTATTTGAAATTATTACATCTTGTTGAAAATGGTAAGTATAGAACTATTTAAAGTTATTAAGAATAGTATGTACTTTTTATTAAAATAATATAATCAATGTACATAATATGTACATAATATGATACAGCCATACAAGAGATTCTTTTAAAACTAGCGTTTTCAAATATTTGGGATTTTAATTTTTATATGATTTAAAGAAGTTGTTATACTTAGTTTGTTTATTATTTTTTATTTATTTTTTAAATATTTGTTTAGAGTTATTTTATATTCTGACATGTACTGCGTATTATATTGTGTAGGTATATTATAATTATATAATAACTTTGTGTGATATTCATTTCAACAATAAATTAATAATTGTACACAATTGATTTGGAAATCAAATATTTGATCATTAATATATTATATTCTTACCATATTACTTAATTATTAGATTTTAATATTATACCTATAGAATTAACTATTACTAATTTGCGTTTAGGATATTTGATTAAACATTAGTCAAAGTGTCAAACTAATGCATAAATTCAAAATACATAACAAAACAGTGTAATAAAAACGCCACACGATTGCGCTCTTAATAATTTTCCTTCCAATTTTACCGGCTTAGGACTGACAACAAAATTAAATTGTTGGCTTGGTTAAAAATTTTGAGTTACAATTTTTTTTTTTTTTTTTAATAATAATACTTTAATAGTAGCTCTAGCATATATATTTCTTTTAATTAAAAATGTCTAATTAAATATTTTTTAATCATAATAATAATAAGAATAAAAATAATACGAATGTATAAATTACAATTTTGTGGCACAACCAAGGTAAAACCAAGTCCGACTGTATTTTTAAATAGTGTACTAGAAAATTGTATATAACATAGACATATACGGGACAAACACATATATATATTAGAGTGCAATCGTGTTGCGTTTTATGCAGGTAAAAAAGGTTATAGACTGGCGCGACAGTGCTAATTGGTCGAGCGCAATCGTATTGCGTTTTTTGAATGGAAAAAGGTAAGCTGGGCGCAATCGTGGTTCACCGTACTTTAATATGGTACAGTAGAGAGATAAGGTAAAAAGCAGTAAACATAATATACAAGGTGTAATAAAAATGTATAATGTTGTATATTGTAATTTTTAAGACTAAATCAGCGTTATTAATATTAATTATAATTTAATTTTAATTATAACAAATATTGATTGTTTATCAAATAAAGATTTTTAATAATTTTTTTTTATTACAACATTAGATAAAAAATGTATTTAATAAAAAAAATCTAAATAAAAAATACGTAATAAGAAAATCCAAAATCAATAAAAAAAATATATATTTGATAAAATAACTTTTTGGTAAAAAATCCGTAATTTATAAAAAAATGAAAATTTACTTAAAATCTATTTGATGAAAAATGCATAAATTAATAAATCTAGTTTAAAAAATTTGTATTTATTAAAAAATATTGATAAAAAAATATTTAAAACTTTACCAAATTAAAATTCTGTTTGATAAAACATCAATAAAATATCTGTAGGTATATTATTCAAAATTAATAAAAAATCAATTTTTGATGAATAAAATTCTGTTTGATAAAAAATCTACAAAAAAATCTGTATATTTTTTTTAGAATTACATTTTATTAAATTAAAGTTAAAAATATTAATAAAAATCGTGTTTCTTAAAAAATCAATAAAAATTCCGTTAGTAATTTTATTCATCAAAAATTGATTTTTTAGTAATTTTGAATAATATAACTACAGATATTTTATTGATTTTTTATCAAACAGAATTTTAATTTAGTAAAGTTTTAAACATTTTTATATTAATATTTTTTTATAAATACAAATTTTATAAAAGTAGATTTAAAAATTATAAATTTTTCATCAAACAGATTTTAATTCAATTTCCATTTTTTTATAAAGTACCAATTTTTTTATCAGAAATTGATTTTTTTATCAAGCAGAATTTTTTTTAAAGATTAAATAAAGATTTTTTATAAAACTTATGTTTATCGAAAAATGGTTATAAATATCTTGTAAATTATAGATCCTTTAAATTATGAATTTTTCATCAAACACATTTGTATTCAATTTTTTTTTTAATAAAAATCGGAATTGAATTAAATTTTTAAAAAAAATTATGTTAGATAAAAAATCAATGAAAACCTGTAATAAAATATCTAAAATCAAAAAAAAAATCTATATTTGACAAACAAATATTTTTGGTAAAAAATTCGGACTTTAATTATATTGATAAAAAATTTTTAGATAAAACATGTTTATTATATAACATTTTTTAATTAAATAAATATCTTAAAAAAAAATTTGTTAAAAAAATCGATAAAAAACAATTTTTTATAATGTACAAATTTTCTAACAAAAAATTGATCTTTTTTAATGATTTTATATTTTTTTATTAGTTTTTTTATTGAACGGAATTTTTTTAAGATTTTATTCAATAAAAATCGTGGTTGATTATAAATCTGTTAAAAAAAATCGATAAAAATCCATTTTTCTATAATGTACGAATTCGATTTTGACATGTTAATGTCGTATGGCTGCGGGTCATTCTGTTAATTTGTCTGACACCGAGAATGTTACATTAACAATTCGGGTCCATGATAATATCCATAGACAATGTCCATCGGTTACCAAGGTTACTATGGTTACCAAGGTTATCATAGTTACCATGGTTACCATGGTTACCAGCATTTCACTCTGATCTGTCGGTCACGTGACTAAATTATTGTTTTTGTGTTTATTTTTTACACGTGTTAAAAAAGTTACCAACAGTTTAATCCTCGTTTAACCAAATTGACCAAATTGAACCTAACCTAACCTAACCAAATTGACATCGACATTCTTATGTCAACTATATTCAGTAGAAAGTAGAAACGAGACATATATATGTACCGATGTATCTGTATGTAATGTAGATACTCTCGAATTTTTTTATTAATTTTGCTTAATGTACAGATTTTTTATAGATTTTTTATTTAAAAGAATATTTTATGATTGTAATTTAATAGTATTTAAAAAAAGAATTTTTTAATATTTATTAATTAATACAAATTTTTTAAACAAGATATTTTAAACTGAATTTTTCACCATATAGATTTTAATTCAATTTCCATTTTTTTTAAAGTAAGAATTTTTTTATCAAAAATCGATTTTTTTTTGTATTTTTTTATTACATATTTTTTATTGATTTTTTATTGAATTAAAATATTAAAAAAATTCTGTTGAGTAAAAATCTAATTAAAAAATCCAAAATCATTAAAAAGATCTATATTTGATAAAAAAATTATTTTGGTAGAAAATTCGTACTTTATAAAAAATTGTTTTTTATCGATTTTTTTAACAATTTTATTTTAAAGATTATCAATTAATACCTTCCTAATTTAAAGTAATGAAAGTTTTTATTTTTTTTTTCTATTTGTAGGCTAATAAGAAACGTGGTAGGAAGCCTTCTGTTGATCCCGAATTTGTATATAATATCCTTTGCAAAAACCCTAAAAGTATATTCTTCGACAATGAAAGCCTGAAACCAGTCTCTAATAAAATTTGGCAAGACATTTCAGAAATGTTACAAAGTAAAATGTCTCCAAATACAATTTATATTGCATTATATCAAAATAGAAATGGGTTACAAGATCGCCTTCGTGAAAAATGTGGATTTCAAAAACCACTTATTAAAAATGACATGGATGAATTAAAAGAATTCGTAGATTCTGTAACATCTAATACTGACGAAGAGACCGAAAAAACCTTATTCAATGTACAAATTCCATTTTCTGAGTATTCTGACATTTTACCTTGTGCTACTCGTTACAAGAGAAATCAAAGTACAAGATTGTATACTGTATTAAAACCATATGCATGGACAGATGTAATTAACGATGCTTTTATTAGCCAACATAAATTACCATGTAATTTTATTTATAAAAGAGCAAGAGTGAGTGATGATACCTCGAACAGCAAACATTTTTTTACATTTCAAGCCAGATGCAAAGACTGTGAGGAAGATTTATTTGGTTGGTGTGATAAAAAACCGAAAGATTTTGAACCAATGGAGTTAAGCATATTAGTAATTGATACTCGAGGTAGAGAACATATACACACTACAAAAAGACCACTCATGGGAACAAAAAGACTCAAAATAAGCAAAGAGTTGGAAAATAATATTCCTTCAAATTGGAAAAGGCAAAATACTCAAAACATGGAATTTGGAAACATGTCCCTTCCAACACTATATAGGAATAATATTTTGAGTAAAGTCAAGCAAGAATTTGTCGATAAACAGTTGGGAATAAACAAAAGCGATGTCATTGAATCTTTGGTTGACATTAAACATAATTCGCAGGCGGGAAGCATACATAGTATTGGGTGTGATCCACTGTTTGTTCATTATTGGACCAATCACCAGTTGCTAATTTACAAAGATATGAACAAATCCTACTGTCGACTTACCATTGATGCTACAGGAAGCCTTGTGAAAAAAATCCATCGCACAAGTGTAAATTTGTTATCTGCTGATATATTTCTGTATGAAGCAGTAATAAATGAAGGTTTTGGACAATTTCCTGTAGCACAAATGATATCCGAAAAACACGACATCATAACTATTGCTTATTGGCTTGATATGTGGTTAAAATCAGGATTAAGTACACCAAACGAAACAATCACTGACTACTCTAAAGCACTATTGGGAGCAATTAGCCGTTCATTTTGTATGTCAAATCTCCGAGAATATGTAATAAAGTGCTTTATGGTAATAAATAATCAATCTAATGATTTGCCACCTTGTTTTATTAGGATAGATGTGGCACATATTATAAAACTTTTTTGTAGTTTAAAATCTCTAAAAGGTACAAGAAATAAGAGACTTAAAGAGTTTTATGTAAGAGGATTTCGTCTTTTAATAACGTCGACCAATTTTGACGATTTTAAAACAATATTAAAAGCAATGATGACAGTAATGCTGAGTATGACTGATGGTTGGCAAGACGGAAATAATACCTTACCAAATCCCTCTGAAAAATGCAGACTTTATTTATTGTCTTTAATGAAAGATATTCCTATAAGTGTAGGCAATGTAGATGAAAATCAAAGTTTTAGTGAAGACAAGGACTTGGATTACTTGTATGATTGCGAGGAGAGTATAACTAACAATAAAGATGTACTTATTAATTTTATTAACAATATTGAAAGAGAAAGTCAAATTGATGCTGAAGTTCTAGGAGATCGCGATTCGGCTTATTATGTTCCCGAATTAATAAAGGACTTAAAACGGTATTGTTATGATTTTCCCTTATGGACGGCTATAATGAAAGACAAATTCGATTCACCGTTCATAATAGCCAGTAGTGCTTCAGTTGAAAGTGATTTTAATGAACTGAAAAATCAAATATTACGTTTTGTCGTACGCCCAATGACTGCTGACCGCTTTATTATTCGACATTTGCATAGTATTGAACAAAACGCAAAACTTTTTCGAAGTAAACAACTGAGGAGAAATCACCTTAGTTATACAATGGATGAATGTAATAATGATTATAATGAACTCGACAATAATTCATTAGAAATTAATAAATCAACTGTTGAAATTACATATAATATATTAACTGATAACGAGGACTCAACCAAGATTTGTTCATCACCGTTAGCAAATGAACTCAGTGACACAAAAAGTAATAACTCTACCGATAATGAATGTGATATATGGCGTGGAAAAGGCACTAATCCAACAGAAAGTTTCAGCATTGAAAATATTGTCAAACCTAAAAACAGACCAACTGACAATGAGGACTCAACCAAGATTTGTTCATCACCGTTAGCAAATGAACTCAGTGACACAAATAGTGATAACTCTACCGATAATGAATGTGAAAAATGGCGTGGAAAAGGCACTAATCTAACAGAAAGTTTCAGCATTGAAAATATTGACAAACCTAAAAACAGACCAACTGACAATGAGGACTCAACCAAGATTTGTTCATCACCGTTAGCAAATGAACTCAGTGACACAAATAGTGATAACTCTACCGATAATGAATGTGAAAAATGGCGTGGAAAAGGCACTAATCCAACAGCAAGTTTCAGCATTAAAAATATTGACAAACCTAAAAACAGACCAACTAAATATATGGACGCATCACCTGAGATTGAAAGAATTATGAACAGAAGTACTCGTTCGAAATATGATATGCTGCTAATCAATGGTAGTATGAAAACGCCTATTAAAATGAACAAAAAACGTTATTTAATATCAAATACATGTGCGTTTGATTCTGTTACTACCCTCATTACGATGGCAATAACTGATAGTAAATATTACAAAGAGTTTATAGACAAAAACACGACTAATGTATTTATGACGTTTTGTAATGATCTGGCAAAAAATGGTACGAGTGCAATAATTTATAAAAAACGCTTGGAAATATTAAAAAATATATTTAAGGAAGAAGTGGGTATAACAGGTGTTACTTTAATAGATGCTCAATGCAATGTAATGCATATAGTAACGCGACTCTTAATGGATATTCCATCAGCCACTCAAATTAATATATGCCAGGATAATATGTGTGCCACAACGAGTGAAAATAAATCAGCCACTATAATATTGAGACGCTCAAATGGATATGAAAATCTTCAGTTAGATTTAGAAGTCTACACAAAAGGACATATCTTGAAATGCGCAAATTGTGAAAGTGGTCTAGCTCAATGCACGAGGGTACTTCATGAACATCTTTTTATTGAAACTGACTCCTATGAAGAATTAGTTTTTTTAACAGATTTTCCATCTCAAATAACAGTAGAAGATAAATGGTAATTATGATTTAATAATTTATTTTAATATATTTAATATATTATAATTAATTAACATAATATTGTAAAATTATTTGGCCAAATTTAAATTCTGAATATATTTAACTTTTAGTAAATAAAATAAACATAGCATAATATCATATTATACAACACTAAGAGTAACTACTAAATCAATAAATATTTAAATCATTAATAATTCACAACAATATAAAATAATATTGTAAAACTGATAATTTACTAATAAGTATAATTTATTATTTTGTGATCGAATAAAAACACTTCAAAAATAGGTTAATTATTTAATTACAGTATATCAACCAATTTTTAACTGTAAAATATCCTGTTAAAATTGGTTGATATACTGTAATTAAAAAATAAATACGGTAAAACCTGAGAAAATTTGTTATAAACTTATAAATCTTAATTATTGTTATGAATATTATTAGTATATTTTTACTTTTGTTATAAAATCATGTTGAATTAAAGAAAAGAGGAAGAATTTCATTATTTAAAAGATAAATATATGTTGGTTTTTGAGTTAAAGATTATAAAATACGTATAAAATTATGAAAATAAAAAATTTAAAAATAACGACAAATTTAGCAAAACAAATATGTATTTAATAATTTACTGCAAATTTCATAATATCATGTAATTTTGTGTTTTATTGTGATTTAGCTATGCATTATACGGAGCTGTGGCACATGTTCCTGGACATTATATTGCTTATGTCAGACGCATTGGTGGATTTTGGGAAGTACATAACGATACAAGAAAAAAATATTCTAGGTGTTACAACCCAACGAATGTAAAAATCTACCCCCATTTATTAATGTATGCTTTGAAGTAATATGGCCATGTATTTTAAAAACACTTTTTTTTTTTGTTTTTTTATTGTAAAATCAAGGATGATATTTATTTTGTTTATATTTTTTGTAATTAACCAATGCTATTTTAATAAAAAATAATTCAAGAAGTAACTACATTATTTATTGTATAATAGTTAAACGTAGTACTTTTGCTTTAAAATAATTTTAGTACGTAAGAAGTTATTTTATTCAAGAAAAATATTTATTGGTAGACGTATATTATGATTAGGCTATTTTAATTAATAAAAATTCAAAACTAAAATGTTTGTTATTTATACTACTGTATTATTAGAACACATTAGAATATAAAAAGGTTGCAGTTATCCAAAATCATATTAATTTTTTTGACTAGGTACTTACTAAAATAATAAAAACATTTTTTGGAATACATATAATATAGACTACTAAAATCTTTCTTTTTGTTTTTGCTATGATATGAGCTAATATTTGGCTGAATATTGGCTATTTTGGTCATGAAGTTATAGCACACCTCCTTCTTAATAATTATTCAAACTAGTGCCAATTTTTCAACAAATTTTATTAGTTCTCCGTTCTTTGGATTTGTCCAATCTATACGCCAAAGTATCGCCAATAACAAGCAATTCAAATGCTAAAAAAAATATTTAAATTTCCGTGTTTTCTAGTTTCTAAAAATATGTATATAAAAAATTAATTTACAATTACGATTAAAACATGTACAATTAATGAAAGTAATATTAATAAAAATAATGAAACCATAAATAAAAACAATTAATATAAATCACAAATTAAGGTTATTAATAAATTTATATAAGAGTAAAATTCATTAGTGAAAAAAAACTTATGTTAACAATTTACAAAAAAATAATGTATATTTGAAATTAATAAACATATTTTGTCATATAAAATTAATTAAAATAATATAAAAAAAAAAATGTTGAATAACGTGTAACAAATTAATTAAAAAGACTAATTAACATTATAAATAAAAACAGTAAATTAATAAAACTAATTTATTAAGTATATTTATAATTAATAAAAATATAATATTTAATAATAATTAATACAAAGTCCCTATATTAATAATTAAATTGTTTAATGTTATTTAAATTATAAGTTTTTATTCATAATTTTTTCAACATTGTTTTTTTAAGTAACATATAAATAAAAATAGTAGTTCTTAAAAGTGTTTATCAAAAATTATTTTATTTTTAATCATTAAGATAATTTAAACAAAAAATAAATAAATAAATAACAACAACAACGTAGAAAAAATTATGAATAAAAACTAAAAAGGTGCTCTGCTGTACAGTAGGTTATGAGTGGGTCACTGTATAATGGATGGTAATAAATTTGAACTCAATGATATAATATCATTGTATAAGAAAAACGATTCTGAGCGGAAACGGTATGTCAGTCTAGGTTTAAGTCATATTATATACATATCTATGGTATTAAAAAAAAAAATTATATTAATTGTTTAATACATTTTTCCTAATTATTATGTTTTTTATTAGTTTCATGTATACCTACATTAATTTTATAAAGTATTCCTGAGAAATGTTTAGCCATTGATACCAGTTTGGAGCCGATCGAATGAATTGGTGGGGCTGACAAAATTTGGAAAAAAATTCGCCAAAATTACAATTTTGATTTGCAAATTCTAAAAATCAATTTGCAATTATTTGCAATTAATTTGCAAAATATTGATACTGGTTTGGAGTCGATCGGATGAATTGGTGGGGCTGACAAAATTTGGAAAAAAATTCACCAAAATTGCAATTTTGATTTGCAAATTCTAAAAATCAATTTGCAATTATTTTCAATTAATTTGCAAAATATTGATACCGGTTTGGAGTCGATCGGATGAATTGGTGGGGCTGACAAAATTTGGAAAAAAATTCACCAAAATTGCAATTTTGATTTGCAAATTCTAAAAATCAATTTGCAATTATTTGCAATTAATTTGCAAAATATTGATACCGGTTTGGAGTCGATCGGATGAATTGGTGGGGCTGACAAAATTTGGAAAAAAATTCGCCAAAATTACAATTTTGATTTGCAAATTCTAAAAATCAATTTGCAATTATTTGCAATTAATTTTCAAAATATTGATACCGGTTTGGAGTCGATCGGATGAATTGGTGGGGCTGACAAAATTTGGAAAAAAATTCGCCAAAATTACAATTTTGATTTGCAAATTCTAAAAATCAATTTGCAATTATTTGCAATTAATTTGCAAAATATTGATACCGGTTTGGAGTCGATCGGATGAATTGGTGGGGCTGACAAAATTTGGAAAAAAATTCACCAAAATTGCAATTTTGATTTGCAAATTCTAAAAATCAATTTGCAATTATTTGCAATTAATTTGCAAAATATTGATACCGGTTTGGAGTCGATCGGATGAATTGGTGGGGCTGACAAAATTTGGAAAAAAATTCACCAAAATTGCAATTTTGATTTGCAAATTCTAAAAATCAATTTGCAATTATTTGCAATTAATTTGCAAAATATTGATACCAGTTTGGAGTCGATCGGATGAATTGGTGGGGCTGACAAAATTTGGAAAAAAATTCGCCAAAATTACAATTTTGATTTGCAAATTCTAAAAATCAATTTGCAATTATTTGCAATTAATTTGCAAAATATTGATACCGGTTTGGAGTCGATCGGATGAATTGGTGGGGCTGACAAAATTTGGAAAAAAATTCACCAAAATTGCAATTTTGATTTGCAAATTCTAAAAATCAATTTTCAATTATTTGCAATTAATTTGCAAAATATTGATACCGGTTTGGAGTCGATCGGATGAATTGGTGGGGCTAACTTCACTAACGTGTTACTATCATAGGTACTTTCATCATCCGTGATCCAAATGTGTGTAAACAAGTAATTTGCTTACTCTATAACGTAAACATGTTTATGAATATCTTCAAAATCTGAAATGTTTGTATAATCATAAGATTGAGAAACTATTACTGAAATCAAACTATGTTTATAGTATTTATATTTACCTGAATTATAAATGGAATGAATTATATGAATCATATCTATCTCTGTCGGTTTTATCTTGTATGAGTAAAATGATACATTTATAAAATAATATTAAAAAAAAGGTGGGTAAGTGGATGTCGCTCTGCTGTACAGTAGGTTACATGTGGGTCACTGTATAATGGATAGTATTAAATTTGAACTCAATGATATAATATCATTGTATAAGAAAAACGATTGGTGGGGCTGACAAAATTTGGAAAAAAATTCGCCAAAATTACAATTTTGATTTGCAAATTCTAAAAATCAATTTGCAATTATTTGCAATTAATTTGCAAAATATTGATACCGGTTTGGAGTCGATCGGATGAATTGGTGGGGCTGACAAAATTTGGAAAAAAATTCGCCAAAATTACAATTTTGATTTGCAAATTCTAAAAATCAATTTGCAATTATTTGCAATTAATTTGCAAAATATTGATACCGGTTTGGAGTCGATCGGATGAATTGGTGGGGCTGACAAAATTTGGAAAAAAATTCACCAAAATTGCAATTTTGATTTGCAAATTCTAAAAATCAATTTGCAATTATTTGCAATTAATTTGCAAAATATTGATACCGGTTTGGAGTCGATCGAATGAATTGGTGGGGCTGAGTGAATTTAGCCCCACCAAACGAAAATTTTTTTTTGCGGCGTGCTTATCAATTTGCAAATTGCGAAACCCAATTTGCAATTATTTGCAATTAATTTGCAAAATATTGACACTGGTTTGGAGTCAATCAGATGAGTTGGTGGGGCTAACTTCACTAACGGCTCGCTGCGATTGTGCGGACTATTTAGTACCTACTCCACTTTACACATAATTCGCATGATACGCATAATTCGTAAAATATATTTGTGTGTATTTACATTCAATGAACGTAGAAAACATTTATTTTATCACAAAGAGTTTAAATAATACAAAATAATATATTCAAATATAGTTATACATAATAAAAAAAATATATATAAAACAGTATTTTTTATACGAGTGTATTTTTTTTTTTTTTTTTGCAAACTGGTATATGTAGTTAAATTATATCTATTTATTTATACACACACGCACCCCCTAACAGAGGAATAAAAGCCGTTTTTGATGTGCTTTGCGAGGCATTTTTGTCT